GCCAGAGAGTGGCAGCAGCTGACTGAGGGCCCAGCTCTGCAGGCAGCAGTGCAGAAGTAAGGGTGGCATGGTATGGTATTGCCACCTTACTTCGGTGTTGCTGCTGGGGGGTGCGCAGCTTTCAGAGCTGGGCTTCCAGTCAGCAGCCGCCACTCTCCAGCTGCCCAGCTCTGAAGGCAGTGCTGTATCTAGCAGCAGCACAGAAGTAAGGGTAGCAGTACTGCAACCCCCCCTGCAATAACCTTGCCCCCCCCCCAACTCCTTTTTGGGTCAAGACCCCTACAATTACAACACCGTGAAATTTCAGATTTAAATAGCTGAAATCATGAAATTTACGATTTTTAAAATTCTATGACCATGAAATTCACCAAAATGGACCGTGAATTTGGTAATGCCCTAACCATGTTCCTACTTGTGGCTCTATCAACATGTAATAATAATGTACCAAATACCTGTATGCTATACTGTATATAATGCATCAAATGCTTGGGTATAATGATACTGCATCAAGTACCTGTGGCTATTTTTATAGAGAACAATATTATACAAAGTGCCCGTTACTCACTTCACTTACCTGTATATATCATATCACACTTAAAATATGTGCATTTTACATCCAAATTATTCTTATAACAGTTAATAAAATGATAGTGGGCAATGTTTTATGCTGTTTGCTATACTCTCTAGGCACAATGGGCAAATTCTTGTGATAAGACGTGGTGAGACTTAATTAGCCAAGACAGCATCATTTAATGATTAGGGCATGAAACTAGGAGCTAGGAACATCTGAGTTATAGTTCCAGTTCTGACATTAACTCACTACCTGGCCTCAATTAAGTCATTTGGGTGCCAAAAGTAGGGCAGCCAAAAAATTAAGAGTCAGAAAATTAGCAAATGCCTTTGAGAATATTAGCTCTGCTCTCTGAGTTCTGTTCCCCCTAAGTCTAATCCGAGCCTCATGATCTGGAAGCATACAACTCACGAGTCAGCATACCCTCTGGGGGCTGGGCATGGCATATCCGGAGCTCCTCCCTTAGCACTTCCTGCCAAACAGCAGTTCTGGCCCAGTGGTGTTGCTTGTTGTGACTCAGCCCTCCAGCCAGGTCACAGAGTCCCACACATACGGGGTACACTACTGGGGTACCAGTAGTCCTATAAATAATAATCTGTCAACTTCACATGGAACCATCAGTCCAAGTCTGGACTCATTAGTTCTTACCCCTGTAGTATAGTGGTGGTGGGGGGAAGGCTTACAGTAGTCCTTACTCCGTGTCAGCAGGGGTTTCTGCTCCTCCTTCCTCAGCAGACTGGCAGAGGAACTCAGGCCCTCCCTCTCTACTGGGTTCCAGTCCACAGACCCTTGAATAGGGAGACAAGGCCCAACTGCACAAGGGCTGCCCCCTCAGACCACTTCCTTGATCTACCTTGGGCTTTTGCCTCAGTCTCTTCTTGGGTTCTCAGCATGTCAGTTCCAAAACATACCTTTCTTTAGAGAGGCTCCATCTCCCAGCTATCCCACACAGCTCTCTGACGCCCCCAGGCTTCTCCCACTGAGCAAGAACCAGCAATCTGCTCTCCTTCCTGAGTAGGGCCTAACTGAGCCAGGCTCAGGCCTTTTCACTCCTTCCTCCAGGCTTAACACCTACTGCAGGCTGATTGCGCCTACAGGCCCTCATTAACCCCTTCTGGCCCAGTGTGGGGTTGGTACACACCCATCACAGATCCCCCGTCTATCTCAGCAGGGTGTTGTGGGGAGTAATTAGTTAATGACTGTGTAGCTCTATGAAGATGTACAGCACTATTTTATTTTTAATTAGTTTGCAAAGTACTTTGAGTTCCTTTGATGAGAGGCTCTAAAAAAACACCATAGATAATCAGGTTATGAATTAAACATATGAGAGGGTGGGCTGAGGGGGTAAGGCCTAGCTAGCACGGGGAGAAACTCTACTGCCTTTCTACTGTGTATGGTCAGGTAAGACAAAGAGAAAATGGAACAGCACTCTTAATGATACTTATAAATTATATTGAAACAGAAAATGTAAACATGCTGAAGCAAGCATATGCCTCGGGCATGCTGAAAACCATGCACATGCTGTCTCGGAGACACAGAGGCTTGTTCTGAAATTCTGGGGCCTATCATCATCTGCTGTAAATGATCATAGTTCCACAATGCAGCTATGACAATTTACACCACCGGAGGGCCTGTTCTATTTGTTTGAGGGCAGACTCTATCCCTGTCTCTTCTCTCCCCAACCTCCACATTCCTAGGGCATACAAGGACATGCATGCAAAGGGAAGACAGGCTATAGGGAGACCACACAGCAGTAGGCAGATCCAGTAAGGCCTATTTTCACAAGTAATGGTTGCTGGAGGAGAGCATCTAAATCTCTTTCAGATTAAGCAGCCACCTAGGCCCTGATCCTGCTCTCGTTTCAAATCAATGGCAAAACCCCATTCGGCAGGTCTGGGCCCCTAGTTCATAAGTGGGGAATGGGGTTGCCAATTTTGGTTGAATGTATTCCGGGAGGTTTCATCACATCACATACTCTTTTATTAAAGATTTACTTTTAAATACCTGGTATCTGAAGGGTAGCCGTGTTAGTCTGAATCTGTAAAAAGCAACAGAGGGTCCTGTGGCACCTTTAAGACTAACAGAAGTATTGGGAGTATAAGCTTTCATGGGTAAGAACCTCACTTCTTCACTTGCATCTGAAGAAGTGAGGTTCTTATCCACGAAAGCTTATGCTCCCAGTACTTCTATTAGTCTTAAAGGTGCCACAGGACCCTCTGTTGCTTTTTAAATACCTGGAGACTCCAGGACAATCCTGGAGGGTTGGCAACCCTAGTAGGGGGAAGCTAGGCAAACTGCATGAAGGTTTGTGTTTATCAGGATTTCACAACGTCAGAATGATGTGGATTGTACAGTGAGTATTCTCTCTGGGAATTCTGCCCACTTTGATCTACAGCACAGCGAGGCCCAAATCTTTGTAACAGGGTTTTGTTTTAATCAGTCTTCCCCCTACTAATGCAAAATGGCTGAAAAGCGAAAGAAATAGGAAGCAGAAATGTTTAAAAATCAGCAATAAACGCTGCGGTAAAAAAGAAGTGCAGCTCCAGGAGCATGAAGTATGTCTTTTAATTATAAAATGCAGGTATCTTGACGTACATAAAGTTAATCATCTAACTGGCATAGTGCTGCCACACCACGATTTATCCAGTGTTTCTGTGGCTGGTCTGAAGGGAGCTCTATTGGGAGAACATAGTTAGTTGAATGGCCTGTAGTGGACAAGATACCTCTTCTTGCACTTGTCTTGTAAACAGGGCACGAGTAAATGTTCTCATGCAGAAATGTTGAACTTTTTCCAGGTTTCAGCCAAATTACAGGCATAGAATCATAAAGGATTTTTGGAAGTGATTCCCCAATCTGCATGGTTTCTCTGTCCCAACGGGCACCTTCTAAAAAGAGTCCTTTCACATATGCCCCATCTTCTGGCATTTCCTCCATGCTGTGTTCCTGTCTTGTCACCTGGAATGATTAAATAATTGGCTTTGGTCTCCTCTTATATCCAGAATATATTTACTCGTGGAATCATAATATCTGCAGTGCTCAGATAGCTGATTAAGGGCCTGATCCAAAGCCCAGTGAAGTCAATGGGAGATTTTCTTTGGCTTCAATGGATTTAGGATCAAGCCCTATGTGCTTCTTTGGTGTCCCCGTCCTGCAGTTCTTAAGGAGACCCAATCTATCTTTTGTTCATACTACTGGCAAATATGCTTAAATAAAATCGTATGTATTATTGAGTTCTCCATCATTTTAGTGGCATATGTATAGTTGTATGCATAGGGAGTGAACTTCACCTTTGTATAGAGGACTGCACACTAGTTAAATACCACTTAAGCCCTCAGAATAGGACTTAAGTGCTGCATAGGTCTTGTACTGGCTCTCTGCAGAGGGATGAATTTTACTCAGAGACCTTATGATAAGAATGAATTAATTAAACAAAAAGATGCCTTGGTGATCACACAATTAAGATACCAAAGGAAAATTAACAAAACATAAAAGAAGAAATTAATGGCACTTAACCCGAACAGGGCCCAGGCTAAATACTCCTGCAACAAAAGTAGGGAGGCACACAGCAAAAAAAACCAGTACGCTCAATCTTGTGCATCCTCTGCTACTAAAGGGAGTTCCTTCAACCACTGGTGGCTACTTTCCTCATAGGGAAGTGATTGTAATAAATCCCCGTTGCTGCACACAAGATATGTGACTGATACATCTTCTCATTTGTGCTTCCCTGGGTTTGTTTTCAGAGCACTCACCAAGATGGTTTTTAAGACCATTTTTCTAGCATGTGGCAAGTCTCATAAACACAGGCCTTGATTGTGTACCATTGCAGTCAAGGGGAGCTCTGCCAACTGACATCAGTGAGCATAGTAGGATCAAAACAATGGAGAATCCACAACAATACTTCTAAAGATAATGTATTTTTCCATGCCCTAGTGTTTCACAGTCTGCTCATTATGGTATATAAGTGTTTAATGTTCTTTGGACTCATTATTAAGGGGGGAGGGACAGCTAAGTGGTTTGAGCATTGGCTTGCTAAACCCAGCGTTGTGAGTTCAGTCCTTGAGGGGGCCACTTAGCAATTTGGGGCAAAATCAGTACTTGGTCCTGCCTAGTGAAGGCAGGGGGCTGGACTCAATGACCTTTTAGCATCCCTTCCAGTTCCATGAGATAGGTATATCTCTTTCTGTGCAATCCCAATAGCCCTGAATCCCTCACTTAAACTATTACCAGTTTATCTCTCCAAGATCCTGTTTTTCCCATTCAGCATTCATTTTTCTCACTAGTTCTCTAACATTTTTCAGACTAGTGTCTCCTAGCCAAGGGATCAATTAAGTAGAAAAATAGCCTCTGGCACTTCTAGCCTCTAAAAGCTCTGTAGGGACGCCAGTCTCTGCAGCCTCAGAATCTATTTCTGATTGTTCAGGAAAAGCGTCCCCTCTTCAACAAGGACCCAGTTCCACTGTAGCATTCCATATCAGTTTCCGACTCCCCAGACAAAAGTCTCCTACTCCAGCCAGTATGGTCACAGAGTTGATGCTGACAGCAGTAAGAATGGGGCCCTCAGGCTGTAAGCTCACCAGTGCTGAGATGCTGGGCCAGGAGCAGCGGCACAGGAGCCAGCAAACAGAACTGGAAACAGGGGAGTTTGAATAGGTGTTTGTAAGAGAAGTCTGGGGAAGGAAGGAGTGTGGTGTTCTGGATTTTTGTGGGGGTGGTGGTGGTTCTTTTTTTCTTGAGAGGAGCTTAGGCAGGAATTCTATGACAGCTACTGAGGCAGCAGTGGTAGTGACCCAAGGAATGGAAGAGACAATGAAGATGACTGGATGTGGAAGCTGCAGGATGTACATTATCCTGGAGGGGGTACATGAAAAGTGCTTCGTTTGAATGAAGTGCCACAGCTGATGGAAGAGAAGATCCAAGGTTTGGAGATGCAAGTAGAAACTAAGGTTGAGTTTCAAAGGGGATTCGAACGATGATGGAGGGAAGGTGAGAAGAGGCTCAAGGAAAAACTCAAGACTCGCAGACAAGTTATTTAAGTTAAGCGCCAATGTTGACACAAGAAAAAAAATGGATAACTGGCCATCAGCAAGTTTTGGCCTGAAATTAGACAAAGGTTTCCAAAAATCAGAGGAGTAATGTTCTGGAACAGTCTTTCAAGGGGAGCAAAAAACGGAACTGGCTTCAAGACTGAGCTTGATAAATTTATGGAGGGGATGGTATGATGAGATTGCTACAATGATATGTGGTTCATCTGCAACTGCTAGTAGCAAAAATCCCCAACGGCTGGAGATGGGGCACTAGATGGGGAGGGCTCTTAGTTACTACAGAGAATTCTTTCCTAGGTGGTCTTGCTGATGTGCTCAGGGTTCAACCGATCGCCATACTTGGGATTGGTAAGGAATTTTCCCCCAGGTCAGATTGGCTGAGACCCCTGGGTATTTTTGCCATCCTCTAAAGCATGAGTCACGTGTCACTTGCTGGTTTAAACTAGAATAAATGGTGGATTCTCTGTAACTTGAAGTCTTTAAATCATGATTTGAGGAATCCAGTAACTCAGACAGAGGTTATGGGTCTAATGCTGAAGGGGCTGGGTGACTTTGTGGCCTGCAATGTGTAGGCAGTCAGACTAGATGATCACGATGGTCCCTTCTGGCCTTAAAGTCTATGAGTCTATGAGATTCCAATTTCTGCTACATTGGTGTAAATCTAGAGTGACTCAGGTTCACACTGACACCCTAACATGCCCCCATTGTCTTGTCTATAAAATGCTAGTTTGTTTTTGTTCTTTTCGTATAACATATGAAAATGGTTTGTATAAATGAAATTCCTCCACATATTTTTACCTCAAATTCAAATCCAATATGATCAATTGGGATGGTGTATTTTCTAGCATAGTTCTGTGAAACACCTGTTAAGAAGGACTGAGTAAAGTAGAATCCCGATATCCAAAATACGTTGGGTGGCCCTTCGTTGATCCACTCCTGAATATGAAAAAAAACCCAATATATTTATTAGCAAAACCCAAAACATTTATTTCTTTAGATTGTAAATACTCTTCAACCCTATCTTGCTGCTGAACACAATGTAAAACATTTCTCCTTACCAAAAAGTCTGAAGTAAAAAGCTGGAAACTTTACATTGTCGCTACAGAGTAAGGATCAGATTGTGAAGTCCTTACTCAAACTTTTGAGCAGTTACTCACATAGATAATCCCAAGAGGACTGCTCATGAGTAACTGCTTGTGAATGTGTGTAAGAAGTTCACAAACTGGCTCTATTTGAGAATTATACGTGACCCTAACTGAAGTAAATCCTCTCGTTCAGCTTTCACACCTTGGTCCCTGAGATGGATCCAAACCAGTTTTAGTATACCTGGAAGAAGGCCAAACGTGTAAGAAGATCAGACACATAGCTGCCCAGGGGTTTCAGCGATGGATAGGATTTGGCTGCCCACATTGGTGGTACTTTGCCTCCGAGCATACTGTTGAAAACATCCTCAAGTTCAGACGACATCAACACTTGACCTTTGATAGCTTTGCCTAAATTGACAAGACTGCTCCGAACAACTTCTGTAAGCCTGCAGATAAAGGGGAGATTGCCATTTCATTACTCACTAAACCTCTGGTCCAAAGCCAACTGAATTCTATGGACTGACTGCCATTGAGTGAAAGCCCTAGAGAGTATTGAGAAATTTCTCACTGTATCTGTAAATACCAAAACCATTCTTTGGCTATTAACTTCTAGTAAAAACTTACAATAGACCAAGGAAATTAATTAACAATAGCTTTAAACTTTAGATACGTGTTGAAATATTGTCATATGCTGGGAATATAGGGGACTGAATGACTCAGAGGATTCGTAATAGGATATGTAGTCTTTCACCTCATCATCACTCGTTCACATCTGGTCCAGGTTAGCAGTGACTAAATGTTGTTACTATCAGATAACTGACCATCAGGATTCAGCTGAAGCTTTCAAGTATTTTGAATCTGTTCTCAAACAGCTTTTGTAAAAGAAGTTTATTATAAAAGGCTTGCAATTGTCTAAAGCTTGTGACCTGGTGCTGATCATGAACACAAACATTTTAGCATCTTTCAGCTTTTGTAAACTTAAAGAAAACAGGCTGCCTCACCTGTTGAATCTGATAAGTTCTTGCCTAAGAACTGTATTCATGGACTCCTCATAAAGCACTGGGTATTTCTTCATTACCGCTTCCAGGTTAAAGTCATTTGGTAATTTGGACAGGATGTCCCGTGCCAAATCTTCAACAGTTTCCTGAAATCAAGAATGTGCAGAGAATGGGGAATTTTTTCAAATGGCCTTTTTTTTGTTATTGTTACTTTTTACAAAACAGATTTCCTCAAATATTGTTGTTTTATATGCTTTTGCTTCACTGGATATTTATATAGCTATTTATGGATTATATACAAAGGCCCTGTTCCCCACATTATTGGGGAGCTATGAGCTGGCCTGACTGATCTGAGGGACTATCTGCACAGAGCAGAAAAGGGTGTGAAAGGGGCTCCCTGGCTCCTCCATGATCATGGCCTGTGGAGCTGGAGAAAGGGGTGGGGAGCGGATGAAATGACTCATCTTCCCCAAGCTGGCCTTCTGTGGATTCTGGCCCCCTTATCTTCACCACAGGAGTCACCCAGGCTACTGCAGCTCTGAGACTGCAGCAACTCCTATGGAGCAGCTAAAGGGAAGCACAGCTGACAATCTGTATCCTAGCAGTTAAGAACCTTGAGGACAGCCATGTGTGTGTGTTGAGGGCAGGATGTGGGGAGAGGAAAGGCCGGCTACAACCTCTTGATTTCTGGGGGAAGGAGATCTTTGGCCCTAATGGGCCTATGTTGCCTGACTCACCGTCCATGAGGTGACTTCCCAGAACCATGGACTCTGTGCCCAGGGCAAGTCTGAGCAGAGATCAGGCTGAAGGAGATCTGACTAGTGCTGTGTGCGTGAGGAGCCCAGGTCAGAGCACAAACCTCCAGGATCAGTATTTGCTCAATGAAATTAAATTCCATATTTTGAAACTGCCTTGGAATCTGAATCCAGGAGCATAATCAATTATATGTTTCAATTATCACTGTCACAGTTGCAATGTGGTGATGATTGAATCCACAAGGAGTCACTCAAACCCACTCCCGGCCCAGTAGTCATAGGCGGAGGTGGATAACGCCTCTAAACTATAAGGGATGATGCACTAAGAATGCCTCCCTAAGACGCTTCCTTGACAGGGGATTGTTTGGATCCCCACTCCCCATTACCTGTGGGGACTTGCCACCTCCACCCACTTGTCTAGGCAGAGTCAAAAGCACTCCACTGAAAAGCTGGTTGGTCTCCTGATTATCTTTAGTGATGTCTGCATTCTCATGAAGCCCAAACACTTCAGGATGTGTTGTAATTGGTAAGCTTCTTAAGTAGTCAATGTAAGACTGCAAGGAAAACATGTAGTTACCAAAAATGTGTATTTAATAGCTTTAATGGAACATAATGAGAATATAATACACAGTTGGTCATGTTCAAACACATGAATTCCCAACTAAAAAATCATTGCTTTACATAATCCAAGCACACAAATACAAAAGCTTTGAAGATTTCAGAAACTAATTTAGGACCTGATCTTGCAGTCCTCATGTAAGTATTGAGTTTATCTATTTTTCTATACTAGCTAATAAACTCCACAGCCTTACGCAATTATGCTGTTGAAATCAGGAGCCAGATGCAATATTTTCAAATATCAAAAGAGCTAGACCTGGGCAAACTATGCTGTCATGGTAAAAAGGGCCTGCGGGAGCTGTAGAGTCCCCCTGCATAATTTCTCTGCAGCCTGACCCTTCCCAGCTTTGCAGCACCATAATGGTCCTGAAGTAGAAAACCTGCACAGATGTGGCATCATTTTTACTCATAGGAAACAGAACATTGTAAGATCATCGCATCTCTCATCAAGTTGCATCAGAACATTAAGTAGAAAAGCAGCATCACTTGCCCCATAACCTCAGCCAGGCTGAACATAACACCATCAACAGCCTCAGGAACAACTCTGACATCATAATCAAAAAGGCTGACAAAGGAGGTGCTGTCGTCATCATGAATAAGTTGGAATATGAACAAGAGGCTGCTAGGTAGCTCTCTAACACCACGTTCTACAGGCCATTATCCTCTGATCCCACTGAGGATTACCAAAAGAAACTAAACCATTTGCTCAAGAAACCCCTGAAAAAGCACAAGAACAGATCTGTACAGACACATGCCTAAAACCCTGACCAGGGGTATTCTATTTGCTAGCCAAGATCCATAAACCTGGAAATCCTGGATGCCCCATCATCTCAGGCATTGGCACCCTAACAGCAGGATTGTCTGGCTATATGGACTCTCTCCTCAGGCCTTACACTACCAGCACTCCCAGCTATCTTCGAGACACCACTGACTTCCTGAGGAAACTACAATCCATTGGTGATCTTCCAGAAAACACCATCCTGGCCACGATGGATGTAGAAGCCCTGTACACCAACATTCCACACAAAGGGCTGGTCTACACTAGGAGGGGAGATCGATCCAAGATATGCAACTTCAGCTACACAAATAGCGTAGCTGAAGTCGAAGTATCTTGGATCGAATTACCTGGGGTCCCCACGGCGCGGGATCGACGGCCGCGGCTCCCCTGTCGACTGCGCTACCGCCACTTGCTCTGGTGGAGTTCTGGAGTCGACGGTGAGCGCGTTCGGGGATCGATATATCGTGTCTTAACGAGATGTGATATATCGATCCCGGATAAATCGATTTCGTGAAGATGTACCCAAAGATGGACTACAAGCTATCAGGAACAGTATCCCTGATAATGTCATGGCAAACTGGTGGCTGAACTTTGTGACTTTGTCCTCACCCACAACTATTTCACATTTGGGGACAATATATACCTTCAAGTCAGCGGCACTGCTATGGGTACCCGCATGGCCCCACAGTATGCCAACATTTTTATGGCTGACTTAGAACAACGCTTCCTTAGCTCTCGTGCCCTAAAGCCCCTACTCTACTTGCGCTACATTGATGACATCTTCATCATCTGGACCCATGGAAAAGAAGCCCTTGAAGAATTCCACCATGATTTCAACAATTTCCATCCCACCATCAACCTCAGCCTAGACCAATCCACACAAGGGGTCCATTTCCTGGACACTACTGTGCTAATAAGCGATAGTCACATAAATACCACCCTATACCGGAAACCTACTGACCACTATACTTACCTACATGCCTCCAGCTTCCATCCAGGACACACCACACGATCCTTGTCTACAGCCAAGCTCTAAGTTACAACCGCATTTGCTCCAATCCCTCAGACAGAGACAAGCACCTACAAGATCTCTATCAAGCATTCTTAAAACTACAATAGCCACCAGCTGAAGTGAAAAAACAGATTGACAGAGCCAGAAGAGTACCCAGAAGTCACCTACTCCAGGACAGGCCCAACAAAGAAAATAACAGAACGCCACTAGCCGTCACCTTCAGCCCCCAACTAAAACCTCTCCAGCGCATCATCAAAGATCTACAATCTATCCTGAAAGATGATCCCTCACTCTCACATATCTTGGGGGACAGACCCGTCCTCGCTTACAGACAGCCCCCCAACCTGAAGCAAATACTCACCAGCAACCACACACCAGAGAACAAAAACACTAACCCAGGAATCTATCCTTGCAACAAAGCCCGATGCCAACTCTGTCCACATATCTATTCAAGTGACATCATCATAGGACCTAATCACATCAGCCATGCCATCAGGGGCTCGTTCTCCTGCACATCTACCAATGTGATATATGCCATCATGT